AAAGTTGTAACTAATATTGGAAATACTACATACGAGAATATACTTTTCTCTTCTCCCTCACAGCTTGAAGATGCTCAACCGGCATATTGTCTTTTCGGAGCTTTCTAGGTCAGAGCTTCGCTTGTCTTTCAACCAGTTTTGTATGTGTATACGATGTACCCTATAAAAAGTTTTATATCGCTGTGTGTATTGCTGAAAAGCCTGTCTGCCCAAATTTGTGTACCGAAATTCGCTTTGACAACGAAGTCCCAGCTTTAGCATCAGCTTCAGCATCAGCCCCAGCAGCCATACGCCGCCATTTCTCCCCATAGCTGCACAATTTCAGAGTCCTCCAGTACGGTGCCGGAGCCGTCCCTTCGTCCCTCCCTGCCACCATGTCTGCTTTGCTGTACATCGTAATTTGCGCACTCAATGGAAAATTGTTAATTAGATTCCTTGCTTGCCGTGTGACTTCGTCTCGTCCTCGTCCTCGTCCTCATCCGCAACGTCCCTTTCGTTGTCGTTTCTCGTCTGCAGTGGCAGTGGCAGCAGAGCAGCCATTGTCATGAGGACGCTTCCACCTCGAACACCTTTCCCCGCAACATTTGAAGCGACTGCAGCGTTTTAGCCAGCTTTGTGTCAAAGTTGGTTAACGTGATTGCTGTTGCCACTGCCCGTGTTCACCGCTCTCTCTCTCTCTCTCTCTCTTTCTCGCTCTGTCATCTAATTGTTTCAAGCTGCCTTCCGCTTCACCGACCGAGCCAACGCACGAACTGTAAGTGCAAAGCGCTTTGAGCCAACAATAACAATAACAACAACAACAACAACAACAACAATAGCAGCAACATCAACACCACTAGCAACAACAACAACAACAACGATAACGAAAGCGGCGCAATTTTTGCACTAAACTTTTTGCTCTTTCACTTTTTCGTTTGAAAACTGTTGCGGTAACGAGTGCAGGAAATAACACGGATGCCCTGGCCGGAAGTAGCGAGTGACGAGCAGCGAGCAAGTGCTTTCTTAAGGCCAAGAGACTCTCTAAGAAACAGAAAAGTCTACCTCCCCAGTGAAACTATGCTACTACCTGTAGTCCACCGATCTGTTCACCTCTCAGACGGCAAAAAAAAACTGAATTTGTTAGTCAGAGGAAGGGAAGAAGTATTTCGAGAATTTGCAAGTGAACGATAATAGCCCCTTCATAGTTTTTCCCCAATTTATGTTAAAGCAATAGCAATGAATTATTATTAAAATTTGTCTTAATATTTATACAAAACAGTATTTTTGTGAGCGAACGCGAAATGAATCATTAATACATTGAGCATTCACGTTAAATAAATAAATAAAAAGTGCAGGTAAGTCTATTTCTGAGTAGCTTCCTCATTTGTAGTCCCTTTATTTGTAGTCCCTGCTTTCAGATCACGCTCCAAATATGTCAACTTTCTTTTGTGGATCTGTGCATAGCAACGATCTACAACTATATTCAACTATTATTTGCGGATGGCACTCGTAAGCCTGGTCGACAACAATCAAAACTGAAGAAGTTCAAGGACCTGCACCTACCTTTCCCTATAAACTAACTGAATGTTTTTATTCTCCGCTTCTAAAACATTGCTTAAATTTATTATTTTTAATATATACTCATGTACATTTTATGTATTGCATATTGATTTTCTTTTTTATATTCTTAATTATAAAATTATTGACATTAATTTTCACATAAATTGTCATAATAAACTGAAATAGCTTGCATTTTTAAATGTAGAAAGTTTGATTTGTATTAATATTTGTATTTGAATTCAATGTGATGATCATAAATTAAAAACGAGTGGAAACTGATAGTTATAGTATTATTGTTTTCGGCAAATTCGGCATTACAATGACTTTCAATTCACTACCATTTCCATTTCTCCACAGGTTGCCAAAATGTAGAGCCCCCAACCCGCTATCAGACCTTCCTTCCCTGCTCATCACACTGACTTTTATCGAACGGGTGCTACGAAATGCGATTGGTTCCAGGCATCTAGAACACATGTGTGAATACTTGGGCATGAATGAGGCTTGTGACATGCCAAGGGCTGGAGGACTGCAGGGCTGCCGGGCTGCTGGGCTGCTGGGCTGCTGGGCTGCTGTGTTTCAATTAAACGCAAAGATGCGGCAATGAAGCGGTAGGGAAGTGGCATGAGGATTAAGGGCCACATTCATACATACATGCTATGTATATGTACTTGTACACATGTATGTGGGGCAGTGCATTCGCCATGGCCAGCAAATAAAACTTAGACACGCATGCAAGCGTAAGGGTTAAAGCCGTGGGCAGGTCTGATTGCCAACTCAACGGAGTGACTCGTCGATTCTCAGATGGGTGGGGGGGAAAAATGCCAATTAAAATCTTAGCCATGACAAGGAGAAGCTGCCACATACATATGCACATGCACACGCACACGCACACATCCAAATAGACATTTGTGTGGGCGGTTGGGTGGTTTTGCGGCTTTGTAGCGGTTCCGTGGGAGTTTCTTGGGTTGGTCTGGTCGCCTACTCGACTTTCAAAGCAAATTGCCTCACTTGTCAGTCTCAGCTCATTTTTTGCAGCGTCTCTGCTGTTGTGTAATCTCGTCTTGCAATCTTCTAGACTGAATGGCTCAAAGTGGCTCGGCTTCGCGCTCTTCTTCTTCTTGTTGTTATTGTGGCTCTCGTTGCTGCCATCGCTGTTGACTTGCCTCAAGTTGCCACTGCCTTTGCCACTGCCACTGCTGCAGTCCTATCTCTCTTGCTGCATAAGAATGCACAAGCGAAGTGGCCTGCTACTAAAGACTTAAGCAGGCCACTTCTCTCATAAAAACATCAGAATGGCAAAGAATGCAATTGCAAGTGTTGGCCAAGTTCGTGCTTGTTGCTGTTTTCGCGTAAAAGAGCCAATTAACTAAACGACAGCAGCATAATTTTGTTGCAACAGCCAAATAGCAGCTTTAATTAGCACACAGCCCTCTTACCAACCCAGTTAGATGGCCAGAAATGGCATCGTTCGAAATTCTATTTGTAACGCCATTTGAAAGCACAGCAAAGGCTAGATCGAATATATTTGCTGGAGCGGCAAATCGAAAAGCTATTTCAAAATGTATGTGCCGTGCAACAATTTTGTAGAAACTTGTGGAAGCCAATGCAACAATTGACACCAAATATTTATTGCAGACTCCAAGCCTAAGTGGAATTACTTAAATGAATAGAACTTTCATATAAAATTTCTTCTGCAGAAATAGCTTTTTCACGCCTACCCTATTATCGTCGGCTATGGGTCGATATATAGGCTTAAAAACAGGCAGAATAGACGCAAGTAGTTAGATGTGTTCATTAAATATATTTATTTTTTTAGGTGCTTCAATTGATAATTTGTTAATAGTTGAGTTATATGAAGCCAAAGGCAAGCAATAGACACATTCTTTGAATGTATTCTATATACTCGTAAAAAGAACTGCTCAATGGATGTGAGAAATAATTTAGTTTTTAAGTTCCTTGTATAAATATAACTGCACTTGCATTTACAGACTTCTACTAAATTGCTATAACTTTGCTAAAAAATAGTTATATATTAGATTGCTTGCCAGCAATATTTGATTATTTTTCATGTTTTCAAGCAATACTTTCATATTTATTTAGTAAATCGATTATTCTAAATAAATATAAAAGATATTAAAGTTCAAATACATTAATAGCCGAGAGTTCAGATTGCAATTACAAATTGATTATTCACCCCAAGATTATGGTTTAAGAATTAAATAATAACAACTTTAAGCACTAATATTACTTTCTGATCATAAATAAAAAAATATTGCCCAACCATTAGGAGAGTTCTCCAACAACGCTGCATTAAATGTTTTTGCTTTGCTTTTTATTGAAGGTATTTTAATAGTTTTAAGTTGTAGGTATTTGAAATTTTAATTAGAAAACACTTGAATATCTGTTATATTGTAGATTGAAATGGATCATTTTTCCATCAGCTGCCATACAGTCTACAAGTATATTCCACTTGAATTTCCTTTGCAAAATAAAAACAGTATCGCACCTCAGACACGGCTTTAGGCCAACATTTCAATTTATTGCCTCTGCCTTTTCATCACATCAGTTGTGCGTGTTACTGCAATTGATTACGGTGTCTGCCAGCAGCCCAGCCCCTAATGCTGCCCCAGCCACTCATGCCACACAGCCACTCGTGGCAGTCAGACGGATAGTCGCTTTGCTCTTCTTATTAGACAAGTTTATGTTTGTCTGTTCGGCTGGGCCGCACTCCTTCGCTTTTGTTTTGAGCGTATGTGTGACGAAAGGGTTATCTGCTCGCCTAACTGGTCTGTGTGTGTGCGCGCACGTGTATTTCTGTGTATGTGTTGGTGTGTGTGTGTGTGTGTGTGTGTGCATGTCCTTGTCGAGCAGTGGTGAGATGTATGCGCGTGAAAATTGCGTATAAAAGCGTATGTTGAAAATATTTATTATCCGTTGCGAATGCAACAAAATGAAAATTTCATTATTTGACTTGCCGACACACACACACACACACACACACTCACAAACACAGACTCAACCACACACATGTAAGTGCATGTGTTGTTTGTTTTTTTTTTTTTTTTTGTTCTGGCTGTATTCACTTGTTGTTTTTAGCTAAATTGTTTATTTTATTAGCAATTTCGAAAATTTATGACCTCTGTGTGGAAAATGTACGCATTTAACCCTTTGACGCCTACAGGAAACGAAATGAAGCGCAGGAATTCCCATTAATTAGCGTTGTGTTGCGGGGCTCTCCCTCCCCTTCCCAAGCACACATACAAACGTGCGCACACACACACACACACAAAGGCACACATGTGCTCGCATTCAGGTGCTGCCCTCTGTTGGACAATTCGATTTCTTGCCATTTCCGGGCAGGTTTGCTTTTTAATTTGCATGTCCTTTTGCGGCATTGCATTGCCTACCTTTAGGCGTGTGCTTAATTACTTGATAGGGGCCAGTCTTTGGGCCTTACTTACCAGGTAAACATGTGCCAGCGCCTGCAAAGCTCTTCAATTGCGGGAATCCTGTGCAAAATAGTTCACAAAAAAATCGTATTGTTAAGCAATATTAATAGTGATGGCATTTAGTAAGACTAAGGCAACTCAGAGTGAATTCAGGAGGGGGAAGTAAGGCATTTAATGTTTATATATAGTATGTACATAGGTAAGAAGGCTAAGCAAGAAATAAGAAATTTAAAGAAAAATTATATGTGACAACATTATTTTGTGTGATGCTATGATGACCGAGAATAGCCCGAAATTGACAAAAATTTTGTAATTTCAACGCTGAAGTTCGTTTTAAGTGAAGTGAAGTGAGGCAGCGAATAATCTCTGAGAGGTAAAATAAAGAGATAATATCAAACCTTCTGCTGTGATATTCAAAAATTATTGATGAAATAAGTTTCGGCGATTTTAAGAGATTGGTTTTTGTTGAAGGAAAATAAATGTATGTTGCAAGAATAAAAGATAGTTTGTAAATTAATGAGACACTTATTATTGTCGATTCAACTTTTTTTGCAGGTAATTGAGTGAGTAATCAATAGAAGCGTCTTTGGCGTTTTTTAAAATTTTTATTCAGATAAGTTCATCAAAAGGCTGACATCAAGCTTAGCCCATTCAGCAATAGCTGACGTCTTAAGCTCTTCAATGCTGATTTGTGGCTGATTATTACATATTCTTTCAGGGATTTATGCAATTCCGGAGAACAAGCTTGCCAGTCTATAATTTTAATATAAGCTTCAAACAAAACCATTTTAGTTCACTGCTTACATAAAAACGAGCCTCTTCCTGTTGGAAAAGTAATGGAGAGAGAGAGAGAGAGAGAGCTTTAGATAGCTTCCACTGAATTAATTGTAAGCTTAAACTTCTGTAAAGTGTTATATTATTTTGAAGTATATATATTTTGAAGTTCATACTATAAAGTATGTCTAATTACATAGTGGCTTTCTGAAAACTTGTTAATAATTGGAAAAAAAAATCAACTTTCATAACCCAGAGAGGGCATATTTATATGCCTCTTATAAGTCTTCAGGCTGGTATCGTGTGCTACCGATTAATTCGTGGACTCCTTTTCACCAATTCTCGAAACTGTTGCATAAAACTATTCGCTCGTGTTTTTAAAATATTTTTTAAATATTCGAATGCATATTTCGTGTGTTTTATGTCGTGCATAACATATTATTTATAACATAAATAAATACAACTTGTGTAAGCACGAACTAAGACGTTAATGAAGTGTGCTTTTTAAACGTAATATGTATGCTGGATACGTAAAGTTGAAGAGGTCTAAGACGATTTTTATTTTTTAGTTTTGAGTATAACTTATAAGAACCAACATCTTTGAGGAATAATGATGGTTTATAAATAGAAATGAAGCCATAATTTTGAATGATTGCAAAAAGACGAAATTTTACAAAAGTTTGTTTGATTGTAATGACAGTTTTTTCACGCGCACATCTCTAGTGCCAAGCCCAGCTAATAGTTGCCCATAAGGCATTGCCAGAAATGGTCGGTCATTTAACCAGCATTTCATTTCATATACTACGAGTATGATATGTTTCAATAAAGCGTAATATATGCACGTTATGCTTTTATAGAATGTCTCCCTTTTTTCAATTCAGAAGACAGTGGCTTTGGAGATTGGTTGCCACTGCCTGTACAGTGCAGCTGTTGTCTTTTTGTGCCTCTGATGGCAAATCCTGAACCGATACCGCTATACTGGTGAGCAAATAATTTTTATACTTGCTTTGCCATTCTCATTTATTAGCCATACAAAAGCGGTGGCATTCCCCTCCAGCCCGTCTGATCGCTCCTGTTGCTGTTTGGAGTGCACATCAGAAATGCAAATCGGCTGCGGCTCTGGCGGTGGCTGCGGTTGAGGCTGTGGCAGTGGCAGTGGCTGTGGCAACTGCCTCGACTCGCCTCCGAGTGACATATCAAAGCAAAATCAAATTTGACAGACAACCGCGCTAATTTCTGCTCGATGTTTCATTGTTTCAAGGCGTTCGCTCGTTCGTTTGTTCGTTCGGCCAGCCAACCAACCAGCTGACTGACTGACTGACTGACTGACTGACGGACGACGGTCCGACCAAAGCCGAATGGGATGGGAAGGCAGAAGTTCTGGGTTGCTGCACTCACAGCTTTAAACCAAGGGGTTGACGTCGACTACTACTCGCTTATGGCATTACTTTTCAATTGTTTAAAGCGGCAAACGCGCACGCTGACGCATTTCAAAAATTCTGCAAAAACAATAAAATCAAATGGGATTTCGAGCCGATGACGATGACGCGACATATGCTCGACATGATGAGGACGTTGCGTCGTCAGCGCCGCTCATTTTCAATAACAACACCACCACCAGCACCAGCATCAGCAGAAGCAGTAGCAACAACAACAACAACAACAACAATCATCATCACCATCACATCAAACTACGAGTACATTTATTAGCTTTCCCCTTTTAGTGACTGCGGCTTGAAAGGGGCTTGTGGGGGAGGGGAAGGGGACGGAGGCACGTCAGCGGCAATCAGCCAACTACAGCTTTACTAAGAATTCCTCACAAACACACACACACACACACACACATTCCTGAGCGCAATTGAAATTTGATATTGCGCAAAATTTCTCTAAAGAATTACACACAGAGCCGTTTCATCATATAACTGGTGGCAGCAGGAGGGGAGCGGAAGAGAAAATGCAAGTGACGATGTATTTATAAACTGATTAACGTTAAACAATAGCTGATATGGGTCGCTCAACGTCTCCGGCACTTGGGTTGGGGCTCTCCGGCTGCTGGGTCAACAAAAAAAAACAACAACAAAAGTTAATGAACAACAAAAAATTTTCCAAGTGAATTCGTCATTCGAATTCAAAATTATCGCCAGACTGAGTCTCTGAGTTTCTAAACTAGCTCGCCTTTCAAGCGACCACACAGGGCGACTGAGAATACTTGTATACTCATAATAGTTGATTGCTTTCCTATGTGCCCGGAGCTATGCAAAGTAGCCCCAACAAGTGCAATGAATGGTGGCGGAGGGAGGGGGGAGAAGAAAATCAAAATACACCTGTTGGGTCACGGCTGTGGTTTCGATGAGTGCAGCAATGATTCAAGCTTGGGATAGGAAATCAACCAATCAAGTTCATCAGTTAAAACAGTTAAAGAATTAAAAAATCAGAGTGAAGAGTGTGAATCACCAGTACTTGCTTTTCCTGAAGTGTACGAATAAATAATATAATTAATATACAATTCAAGTGAGTTCCATGCAAAAAAGCAAAAAATGCCATAAAATACATCTATGAAAAAATTAAGCTGTAAGTATGCAATATATATATAAGTGAATCGTATGAAAACAAACAAATACATAAATGAAATACTTGCATGCTAAGTTTATTCCAACATTTTAGTACTTGGCCTTCAGTTGAATGCATTCATATATTATCGTAGAAGTAATCGATATTCCGAATCGCACAAATTTATTTTATGCATTCTTTTGGTGTAATTCTGTTCGAACCTAGTTAGTGAAATATATTACAAAGAGATGCTCATTCACTTGAATTAATTCATACTCATGATTCATCTACTCACAGAACACTTTTATTTTTATAAATATGTAAAGTAATTCATTTCTAGTACGTTAAGTAATCTTTCATTATAGAAGAAAAATATTTATTTCTGAAAGCAATTCTACTTTAATCATTTAAGTCCATTCGTAGCCTGTTAATTGTGACGAAACTCAACTATTCATTTGTAGAGTATATTCAATTAGTTTATTAAGCTTTTGAATCATTTTGTGATTAATAAACGATATTATGTTACATTCATAACCAAATGCGCTTCTTCGAGTTACAATAAATGTGAATAGTGAGGGAAGTATAGGTTTTTTTTTTGAATGTACTCAACCACTGATTTGAGTAGATGTGTGGCACAAGTGAGTGCATTCATTAGCCAGCCCTTCATTCATTTTCAGGCATCTTCAGCTTCTGCTCTTAATTTCTCAATAGTTTTCAACTGGTTTTTGTCATTAATCAGCAGGCAAACGACTGAGTGGCCACTTAGAGTGGAAATACGAGTATGCATGTACACTTATTTATGTGCGAGTATGTATGTATGTATGAATAATTAGCAGGCACAGGTAACAGGTAACAGTTAACAGGTAATAGTCGGAAAGAAAGTCTGGCAGGGCATGGCAAGTGGAGCCAAAGGCAATGGCAATTGTGTAGTAAGAAATAATCAAAATTCACTCAGCCGCTGAAGAAGCAGAGGAATAGTCGAACACCCGACAAGCTCAAGTGCCAAATCGTGTTTATTTTTGTTATAAAATTAGCGCAGACCCAAGTCCAGTCAGCTCGAGAGGTGAAGCGGGGGGCAGGGGAAGAGAAGTGGAACCACTACAAATGCGAATTTCAATTGTGTAGGTCTGTCTATCTCTCTGTGACTCTGACTGTAACTGTATCTGTATCTACATATATTAAGTATATATATCTGTAGCTTGAGCTCAGCTTATAGTATACGATTGTGTGCTGATTGGTGTTGTTGGGATTTGTGTGGCGAGGGCGATGGAGAGGGAGGTGAGGTGCTTGGGGTGCGAGGCTTGGCCGGCGATCAAACCCAGTGACGAGGCAGAAAATTTCATATTTATATTTGACTGACCACGATTTCGCTTATTTGTCATTATCATGGTTTTTTTTTTTTGTTATTATTTTCCGTTGTTCCTAAATGTGTCTGTTGATGTTTTCTTTCTTCCAATTTTATATTTCTGATGCATTGAAAATTATTCAAAATAATTGCGGCTAATTCTGTTTAATGTGCGCACGCCTCTGGCTCAGTCGCACACACACACACACACACACACACACATACATACGAGTACACTCTCAGAGTGTTGGCGGGCGGGGAGGGGGTGAGAGTGATTGAAAAAAATTAACCCCTTGAGTGGCACTCAGGCACGTCAAGTTGCTTTAATTGACTTTTAAATTCGCCAAAAAAAAAAAAAAATAAATAAAAGAGAAAGAAGAAAAGTACACGA